CTCCCAGAGTGCTAGGATTACAGGCGTGAGCCAACGTGCCCGGCCTATATTAATATTTTATTTTGCAGGGATTTTATTTTGTTTTTCCATTGAATCCCCTGCATCTAGAACAGTATTAGACATGTAGTAAATATTGATTGTATGAGTGAATCATTGCTTTTAATTATCATAACTACTGTTTCTCTCTACTTCTGGTTTATGATCCATTTTGAGTTTTTATGTGTGGTATGAGGTAGGAGTCTAACTTCATTCTTTTGTGTGTGGCTATCCAGTTGTCCCCATACCATTTGTTTAAAAAAACTGTCTTTCCCCCATTTAACTGTCTTGGTATCATTGTTGAATATCAACTGTTTACAGATGTATGTATGGGTTTATTTCTAGATTCTCAATTCTATTCCATTGATATATATGTCTACCCTTATGCTGTTACCACAGTCTTAATTATAGTAGCTTTGTGGTGAGGTGCTGAGTTTTTAAACTAATAGTCATTTTACATGAACTACTTATCATTTATATCTGATTATGCAGCATGACATAATTATGACTATATCATTAAATATGCCATATTAACTTTCAATAGGTTTTGTTTGGTCATAACAGTAAGCCATATGCACGTAAGTTCAGTTTTCATAGATCATTGCTATGTAGTTTGGGTTTTTGTTTATGCAGCATTTAAAAATAATTAGAAAACCATTGGTTGTTATTCACCTGCCATTACCTTTTAAATGGCTCTTAAGGGGACTTGTGATATTATCTTTTTATAGCTATTTGTCTTTTGAATATTCTCTCTACAAAAGAAAGTAACTTGTATTGTTCTTTCCTTTATAATTTATAGATTTTGCATGCTGAAACTTCTCAACCAGAAGAAAGGGCCTTCACAGTGTCCTTTGTGTAAGAATGATATAACCAAAAGGTATATAATTTGGGTAATGATGGGAAGTTGGAAACTACAACAGCAGGAAAAAGTAGAAATTCTTTTATAACATAGCTGTATTCCTATAAAGCCATTCATCAGTAGAAAAATGTATAAAAGTGTTTTAAGCACATTAAATCATTTCTAAGCTATTTCCCTGAACATTTTGTGGGACATCTGCCATATACAGGTATTAGCAACTTATTGCCTTTTTCTGATGCTTCTGTGTAGTGTAAGAACTTACAGTCTTATCTAAAGTAGCATTGTATCACCCTGCCCCAATTGCTAATCTTGCTTTTATTTTTCTTCATTGAGTTTATTTCTGCCTAATTATTTATACACACAATGTATTTATATATCGTGCTTCTCTGCCATGATGTAAGTTGTATTAGGGTAGTGACTTCGTCTATCTCAATCAATAGTGTCTCTCCAATATTTGGTACATAATAGGCACTCGGATATTTAAAGAAATGAATGGTATTTTCCTCCCACTTTTCTAAACCCAAATCTCTCATTGGATGCTGTTATCAATCTGTGCTTTCAAAATAATGTAATCATTATTTGACAGAAATCCCTAAGAAACACAGCTAGCAGTGAGGGATTGGGTAGGGTTTGGATGTTAAGAGTAGTAAGTTCTCTATGCAGTGGATTTATATCTACTGTGGATTCAGGGTAAGATTATGCAGATAGCTTTAGGCTCTTGGCAAATTTAAATGAATGACAAAAAAATTATAAAATCAATCAATACTGCCACACAGTTAATCCTGATGTCAATGATTATTAGTGTAATATCACTGATGGCTCTGTTCTTCAAATATAGGTTTTTTACTATTGCTATATCTTGTTTTTATTTGTCTACATGTCTTTCCTTATTTTAGTGTCTTTAAAAAGTTGATAATTACTTGCTGAGCGTGTCTCTCAAACAATTTAATTTCAGAAGCCTACAAGAAAGTACAAGATTTAGTCAACTTGTTGAAGAACTATTGAATATCGTTCATGCTTTTGAGCTTGACACAGGATTGCAGTGTAAGTGTTGCATAGGCCTGGAAGCCAATGCTCAAGTAGCTGTCCATGAAAACTCAGGAAGTTTGCATGATTATTTTCTATGACTAGCTGGTCTAGGTAAACTTTAGCTCTGTATCTATAATGTGTTTAAAATCACTCCCACTGGTCTCACACATTATCAATCCTAAAATGCACATTTTTCATATCTTAACATCTTTGAAATTGGGAGCATTTTACTATCTGCAGTGTGTCATTGTTTTTAATTTAGTGTGTTTATGGTCTGGGCATGGTAATCCCAGCACTTTAGGAGGCTGGGGAGGGAGGATCTCTTGAAGCCAGGAGTTCAAGACCAGCCTGAGCAACATAGTGAGACCCCCATCTCTACCCAAAAAAAAAAAATTGGTCAGGTGTGCTGGTGCATGCCTGTAGTCCCAGCCACTCAGGAAGCTGAGGCAAGAGGATCACTTGAGCCAGGGAGGTCAAGGTTGCAGTGACCTACGTTACGTTAGCACCACTGCCCTCCACTCCAGCCTGGGTGACAGAGTGGGAACCCTGTCTCAAAAAAAAAAAAATTTAGTATGCTTTCTTTCTTAGTGGTACAGAAAATAATGGTGCGTGTAACATTGGTGATGTCTTAGATTCAGTGAAATACAGAATTAATAGGCAAATTTGAGGTAGAAAACAAGGATTAGAAGTAACTTTAAGGCCGGGCGCGGTGGCTCACGCCTGTAATCCTAGCACTCTGGGAGGC